CCCCCCCCGAGATATGTAGCTTCTCGATGCTCGTCACTGGCATGTTTGTTAACTTTTGCCGTTGCTGCTGCTCCACAAGTCACAGTAGTACGGCCGTCGTTTCTCGCTTGCTTACTTTTATGGTTTGTTCAGCGAGAGGTCGCTCTTGAGCCAGCCCCAGGATTTGAGCCCCGCCATGGGCGAGTGCGCGGGAGAGATCGGGCTGCACGGGAAGTGGATGGACGTCATGATCCCCTTCGTCCGCAAGTGAGATTAAAATGTACTTCAATATACTTGTATTTCGTTTCGTTTGGCATATTGTTTGGAAGGGGGATGAGAAAGGGGACAAAAGCAATGGTTCGTTTGACTCCTTTTTTGGGAGGGACTGCGGTAGGGTTAGGGCTGTGGGAAGAAAGTCCAAGTTTTCACCCCATTCTGTGTCTCGCGTGGACGTTGATACGGCATTGGTGGAGAGGTTGCGCCGCAGCGGCGTCGGCTTCACCGAGTAGAGTTTGAGGGGGTTCTCACACAACAAGGGCGGGTGGGTGGGTAGGTGGGGTGTACTACTGTTTACCCGTGCCTTCGGCCATTGGCCTCGCATCCCTACGATGCCGGGACGGAGCGATATTCCGGGTTTCGCCAGCCCAGCCTACGATTCACAAGGATGAACCAGAAGCTGGTGGTAGGCGGTGATGGAGGGGTGGTCTTCGCTATCGTGTCGTCTTTCTTGTTCAAGATCGCGGTCAAGGCGTGGCCACGCATCAACCACGCTATTCCATGCTCTTTGGCTTCGTAAGGTGCCATTGTTGACCCTGCGGCTTGACGTTGACTGAAGAGGGTGCAAGTGTGGGCGAAGCGCACCCGTTGCTGTATTGAAGCCATATCTTTCCGGTATTTTGTTCACCGCCTGTTGCGTGCCCCCCCTCTGTCGGGGGATGATATCTTGCCGGCGTTTTCGACGGACCAATAGGGTGAGGGGCAAGTTGCCCAGGAGAGTGAAATCGAGTGACAAGCCTGTGGACACCAAGTACGCTTTGGAGGTGAGGGGACGATACACGCACTGCGTCTCGTCGTGCGTGTGTTCGTACGGCTGCAGTTCTTCGTCGGCACTCGGGAGCAGAAGCTATGGGTAACTTACTTCAGTATGGTATATATCACTGTGCTCGCAGCTCATGTACAGGTTTGAAGCAGACTCCGATATGCTAAGCATCGTCCGGCAGGGATTTATCGCCCAAACCCCGTTGAAAACACACCAGCACACTAGGGTACTGTTGTCCCCAACGGGTAGTCTTTCTTTGCTGCTCTATGTGTTATCGCCCGACAAAAACATGAAAAGATTGAAACGCCCGGGCGGTTGAAAATGAAATGACCGTCCCGGATGATTACCGTGCGTTCGGCCCGGTGCTGCCCTTGAGCTTCACCCCCACTCAGCTTCTGGGAGTACCATTTCCTCGCGGTGTACGGCGTGTAGAATATCGCGGTAACAGCTGAAAAAAACAAGAAGATAAATGAATATTTTTCGAAGTGTGTTTTGGTCACCTTCGCCGAGGCCCTACTCCCCCTCCTCAAGCGCCAACCAGGGAAGCGGCACACGCTCCGTGTTTTTTTTTTTTCTGCCTAGCGTCGTGGTGGTGGCCTGTTCTCGTCCCATTGATTGTGGTGCCGGCGTAAACCTGTCCGTGTGTATATATTTGAGGTGTCATTGCGTGTGTCACACAGGAGGAATGAAGATGATCCAGGCAGTTTGTTTTCTTCTGACCTACGGTTGTCATCGCGGGAACCCAAGTGATGGCTTGGTCGCCACCGTGAGCGGGAGCAGGCTTTGCTCGCCCGCCTCCGAAGGGGGGGCGAAGGTCGACGGATATCCCACTGCACCAGCAGGCCCTAACCCGGGCATCCCCTCTTGTCAATCCACCAAGCAACAAGCAACAGACGACTAGAATAAGCTATACCCCCAGCATTGGCAACAAAGTCCAAACCACGCATGCCCCGCGGCTCCGCCGGCACCGCACGCGCTTTCCTTGGTCGATCGCGTCAAGGTGTTTCGCGAGGACATGAGCCGGTGCTTCCCGCTGAAGACAGTGGTCGACGAGCTGCAGACGCTTCACCCGGACGGTGCTTGGAGGCAGGGGTGGGCCCGAACCCCCGCTATGGGTTTGAGCGACAAGCGTGATGCAGCGGAGAGATTTGCGAAGCCCTTGCGTCCCAAGTTCGGCGGTGTCGGCGGCGCCCCGGGCAAGCCGCGACGGGTCCCCGGGAAGCTAGGTGATTGCCCAAGGGGTGTTTTTTTTAGGGGGGCGAGGCTACTCGTGTATTGCGTGCCTTAGCGGTTAGACCATTGGACCATTGACCACGCGGAAGGCGGAAGGAGGGAGGGTTAGAGACAGAGACGGATTATTGCGGTGGAAGAGAGAGAGGGCGAGAGGGAGAGGGAAATAGAGATATACCGCTTTCTTTAGCTGTCATGTTGAGATAGTGAAGGCCATTTCGCGGTACCAGGGTTCATGACAGTCTCGTGGTACGCGTTGGTACACTAGCCACTCCGACCCAGTGACTGAGAATGTAGAAATAGTGCGTAAATACGTTTAGGATAGGTGGCAGAATTGCGGCCCGTTTGAGTGAACTATGAAGGTGCAGCTCAAATCGTCCCCCCCCCCCC